GCGAAGGATCTTCCTCCGCACTGGAGCCACGATGGGGAGCGCCGGCTGATTGCCCGTTGGACGAATCCGCTACCGGTGCGGACGACGACGTGGAGTTCTGGGCTGCTGACGGTCTCCCCGAGCACCTTCCAATTCCCTCCTTTCCCCCTCCGAATAAAAAAAGGCCCCACCCATCTCGCGATAATCGTGATGCCCGTCCTCCCTCCCCCAGGCACAAGCCGACAAAGCACAGGCGCAATTCCTACACCTCGCATGAGAAGTTGCGATGGATTCTGAAGCTCGAAGCCGGAGAGTTGAGTGTGCGGCGCATGTCTCGCGAATCCGGCATCTCCCGAAGGTGCCTCACGGAGTGGAAGAACCGCAAGGGTGAGCTTGAGGGCGCGCACGGTGCACGCTGTCGCCTGCACGGCCGCGGAAGGAGCTCGTGGTATCGCGACATGGAAGCGGAGGTGTACCGGAGGTTTCTCGCCCACCGCAAGAAGTGCCTCGCCGTCTCGATCGCACGACTGCAGAAGTGGTCGCACGAGGTGATGAAAGAGTTACACCCAGGTGAAAAGTGGGCCGGCTCTCAGCGGTGGACTCAGCGCTTTCGCCGCCGCTGGAACCTGACCAGAGCGAAGACCCGGGTCGGCCAGAAGCTCTCGTCCAGTGAGTTGTTATTTGGTGGTATTGTTGTTTGTCTGTTCCCGTCTATTCACGGCTCTCACTCTGTTTGTGCTTTCTGTTCCTCCCATCCCGTGTCCCAGACTGCGAGACTGATGTCAAGAACTTCTGGACGTACGTGCGTCACTCCCGCCGGCAGTACAAGATCGACCTGCCGTGGATTCTAAACGCGGACCAGACGCCCCTCTGGCTCGAGATGCCATCCGAACGCACCATTGAAGAGGTTGGCTCGCGCTCCGTGCCCGTCCGCAGCGGCGGCTACCAGAAAGAGCGGGTTACAGTGATGCTCGCCTGCACCGCCAGCAGGGAGAAGTTGAAGCCTTGGGTCTTCTTCAAAAGGAAGACCGTCCCCAAAGGAGATTTCCCTTCAGGTATGCACCACACGTCGATTACGCGGTGGCATGTCGATGTCAGTTAAAAATTTTAACTAACATCGTGGTTTTGTTGCTGTGCAGATATCCACGTGGGGGTCCATCCCAACGGGTGGATGGACGCGGACGGTGTGAGAATCGAGGAAGGAATGAATGCACTAGAAAGCAATTGAGTACATATAGGAAACCCTAACAGGGTTGTACTCACTACAAAGTACCCCACTGCAGACTAGAGAAACATAATATTCTGACACACCCCCATAGTCAAAGTGGGGTATGATCAGCACAACAAGCAAAGCAAAGCAAGCTCAGGGTGGATCACAATGTCACCACACATTCTGAGCACAAGTACAAGAAGCAACAGTTTATAGTTCACAGTAAATAAGTAAAGCTAGAGGCTATCACAGAGGGCAAGTGAGGAGGAGGAGGCTGGACTAATAGGAGATGAGAGAGGAGGCAACGGCAGAAGCTGCAGACACACGGGCAACAGGAGCGGCGCGCACTGTGGCTACCGGAGGCGCACCTCCGGACTACAGGAGTAACTGGCTCCGCGGCTAAGACGAGCGGCAGGAGCAACGGACCCACGGGCGACTGGCGCAGCGGCATCACTGGGCTACCGGAAGCGCACCTCCGGACTACTGGCACTGCTAGCAACACGACGGCTACCTCCAACCAACCTCCCTCTACTGCCGCACCCCCCATTCACACACCCCCTGCTGCACCCCTAGGTTCACTCACACGTCACCCCTTAGCACCACGCCTTTGGCTCACACTCATCCACCCCCCTCAGCGGCAGCTGAAGCAGTGGGAGACAAAGGAGGAGGAGGGGAAGGGAAACATACCACCCATCACCCCCATACCCGCCACCCCCATACCCTCCGTTCCACGGATGCACGCGCAGCAGGGAGACGAAGAAGGGGGGGGGGGAGAGGAGCAACCGGCAGCAACGGGCGGCAATGGGCAGCACAGGGAGGCGGCGGCACCGGGTCCAGGGGCGGCGTCGCGGGGTCCAGGGGCGGCTGCTCCAGGGGCCAGGGGCGGCTGCTGAGGTCCAGGGGCGGCTGCACCAGGGGCGGCTGCTCCAGGGGCCAGGGGCGGCTGCTCCAGGGGCCAGGGGTGGTTGCTCCAGGGGCCAGGGGCGGCTGCTCTGGGTCCAGGGGCGGCTGCTCCAGGGGTGGCTGCTCCAGGGGCGGCTGCACCAGGGGCGGCTGCTCCAGGGGCCAGGGGCGGCTGCTCCAGGGGCCAGGGGTGGCTGCTCCAGGGGCCAGGGGCGGCTGCTCTGGGTCCAGGGGCGGCTGCTCCAGGGGCGGCCGCACCAGGGGCGGCTGCTCCGACGCGCGGCCCCCCCCAGGTCGCCCCTCCCGTCGCCTGTTGAGGCGACCTGAGGGGGGGGGGGGCAGCGTGCGGCCCCCCAGGTCGCCCCTCCCGTCGCCTTACGAGGCGACCTGGGGGGGGGCGCGCGCGGCCGCCCCCAGGTCGCCATGTAAGGCGATGGGAAAGGGGGGGGGGGGGGGGTGCGCGGGCCCCCGGTGCGCCGGTGCAGGCACGAGGGGGGCGGGGCCTGGGCAGGGTCGGGGCATGGCAGGGGCAGGGCCGCGATAGGGCCGCGACAGGGTCGGGGCAGGGTCGTGACAGGTTCGGGACAGGGGCGGCGCCGGGCGACGGGGCCGATACGGGGGGCCGCGACGGGGGCCTGCGACAGGGGGCCGCGACGGGGGGTCGCGACAGGGGGGGGGCGCGACGGGGGGCCGCGACGGTGGGCCGCGACGAGGGGCCGCGACAGGGTCGGGGTAGGGCCGGGGTCGGGGCAGGTCCGGGACGGGGCCGCGACAGGGTCGGGGCAGGTCCTGGACAGGCCGCGAAGGGGCCGCGACGGGCCTAACGGGCCGCGAAGGGGCCGCTACAGGTCGTAAAGGGGGCCGCGAAGGGGCCGAACTGGCCGCGAAGGGGCCGCGACGAAGGCCTAACGGGCCGCGAAAGGGGCCGCGACGGGCCTAACGGGCCGCGAAGGGAGCCGCCACGGGTCGTAAAGGGGGCCGCGAAGGGGCCTAACGGGCCACGAAGGGGCCACGACGGGGGCCTAACGGGCCACGAAGGGGCCACGACGGGGGCCTAACGGGCCGCGAAAGGGGCCGCGACGGGCCTAACGGGCCGCGAAGGGGGCCTAACGGGCCGCGAAGGGGCCTAACGGGCCGCGAAGGGGCCGCGAAGGGGGCCTAACGGGCCGCGAAAGGGGCCGCGAAGGGGCCTAACTGGCCGCGAAGGGGCTTACGAGGGGCCGCTAAGGGCCGTTAAGGGCAGGCGCGACGCGCGCCTTGGGTAGGAAAAAAAAAAAAAAAAGTGTAAACGTGGTGGGCCCTTAGGAAGGATCGATATTGCTCTATACCATGTGAGAATTGAGAAGGGATGAATGCACTAGAAAGCAATTGAGTACATATAGGAAACCCTAACAGGGTTGTACTCACTACAAAGTACCCCACTGCAGACTAGAGAAACATAATATTCTGACAGACGGTGTCATCGAGTGGCTGGACGGGGCGGTGAAGCCGTACATCAACCCCAAGTTTGGAGTCCGCCCCCGCAAAGCTCTGCTCGTCCTCGATTCGTACCGCGGGCACCTGACCCCGGAGGTGAAGAAGAAGTTTGGCGAGCTGAACCTGGTCCCTGCGGTTATCCCTGCTGGCTGCACCTCAGAGATTCAACCCCTCGACGTCGCGGTTAACCGCTCCTTCAAGGCCGCCGTTCGCCAGCTCTACCAGGAGTGGTTTGAGCGTGAGGGGGTCGACACCTTGACGAAGAAAGGTGAGAGGTGCAGCTCTTCTGTTTATGTTTTTATTTCTTTAACCCGTGCTGACCCGGTTTCTGGATTTGCGTGGCAGGCAACATCAAGAAGCCTACTGTCGAGCTGACGCTCAAGTGGATCTCGGCGGCCTGGAAGTCCGTGCCGAAGGAGCTCATTCAACGGGCGTTCCTCACCTGCGGCATCAGCAACGCCCTGGATGGGTCCCAGGACAAGCTCTGCCTGCAACACAGGCGAGACGAGCTCGAGGGCGAGGAGGTCGACATGGATGATGAAATTGCAGCACACGGTTTCTTCTGCAACAACGTAGAGGAACCTGAGTCGGACTCTGAGGCCGACCCAGATGACCCCACTGCAGCTGATGATTAGAGTAGGGTAGATTAACTAGTGTAGAAAATGGTGAAGCCTGTGTGAGGCTCGTATCGTAGGTAGGAGTAGATTAACTAGTTGTAGAGTAATTAACATGATGTTTTAGTATACTAATTATGTAAAAGGTCTTCAAATGATAAAAAAGAAAAAAACTGGGTGGCGGTTATAAAATGTAAGGCACAGGTATGCGGTTATAATCTGTAAGCCTTTTAGGTATGCGCTTATAATCGAGCACCGGATATAAGCGCCACACGCCAATTAAAAGCGCCAGGCGCTTATCCGCGGGTATGTGTCCTTGCTGTCGCACTGTACGTTTCGTCAAGTCAAAGGTCGGAGACCTTTGACCTTCGCGTAACCTCCGGCGGTTGCTTTGGTTGACTCGAGTGCTTCTTCGCTGTAGTTAGCTCCGTTTTTGTGTCAAAGCTTCGATACTACAGAAGCGTTAGATTACTTGTTTCCAACACCATGATCCACATGTGTACCATGATCCACATGTCCCCTCAGCTGAGTGCTGGTACTTTCCATGTCATAGGTACATTGATTCTGTTCACGACAGGTGATTGGTCTAATGAACGTGCTTGTCACGTGGTACTCTGTGGTGACGGTGTTCTGGACGGTCTGCTGGTGCGGTAACCGAATCAGCTTTGCGTATCTTCCCCTCCAAGCATGTGTTGTCTTCTCATCCAGCCTGGTTAGCATACTCTCACGTTCACCGAGTCGACCCGGGTTCCAATCGCAGCAGCAGAGGATGCACTGCTCGGCACTGCAATTTAAGCTGGCCTTCATTCCTGATTTTATTACAAATCAGTGTCTACAATCTCAATCACCCCCCGTGAATCCACCTTCCACAGCGGTTTACGTGCAACCAGCAGGTGCTCTCTGCTGCTGCCCTTCTCTGGCGGGTGGGCCGTCATGTTCCAGTGTGCTGCTCTCGCAGCTCGCTCCACGCCCTCCAGCACGGCGGGCAGGTCTCTGACAATCACTGTGCCTCCCGGTCTCAATAGCCGATCCACCTCTATTATTACGTCATCTATGTCACATTGGTCCCTGTGAGGTGCAGGCAGGGGGTTGGGGGAAATGACAATCCGGTCACTTTCCTGATTTATGCCTTGTCAAGCAACTGAAATGTTAACCTTGACGGGAAATTGAAAGAATGCAGTGCACTACAGGAAACACGCTTCTCACATCTTCACCAATTCCCAGCTGACACTCACGGGGAGAAGGAGGAGGAGACGCCCTGCCAGTGCACGAGGTCGTAGGAGCGCGGGTACGACGAGAACGCCTCGCACCAGTCATGCACCGTGCCCACCAACCCGCGGTCAAACACCGCTGCCAGGGTGTTGAGGCGGCTGCTCACCGGCACCACGTTCATCACCCACACCCGCTCCTCCCCGTCCTCCTCCCTCCCCTGCAGCGCCGCCGCAAACGACCCCACCCCCGCATTCATGTCCAGCACGTTCCGCACCTTCCCCGGCCCACTCTCCTCCTTGCTCCCCCCTTTCTCCTCGCTCTTCTCCCCCTTGGCCTCCCCACCGTCCCCCTCGGCGCCCTCACGGTGCTTCCGCCTGCCCTGATAGCCCAGCAGGTGGCCCAGGAAGAGGGACTCGTAGTGCGCCAGGCGGGTGCCCCAGCGCCGGGTCTCCATGTTCATGCGCTTCTGCCGGGGCGACAGGGCTGCCAGCGCCGTGCCCTGCCGCTTGCTGTACTGCGATGATGCCATGTTCATTACTGACTTCTGCTGCTCCGCCTTCAGTGCCTTGCGCATGTCACCCTCCTCCTCCTGCCCATGCTGCTCTGCCGCTGCTCTCTGCCCCCCTTGTGCTTCGCCATCACCATCACCCTCACCATGCGCATCAGAGCTGAGTAGCCTTCGCCTACCAGCATCACCACCAGCGCCAGCAGCAGCAGCAGCAGCAGGAGGCTCCTCGCTGCTCCTCCCCTGTGCCTGTTGCTCTGCCTTCTCTTCCCCCTCCTTCGCCCCCTTGTCCGCCCCATCCTTCACCCCCCTTTTCTCCCCATCCTTCGCCCCCTTATCCTCCTCTGTCGAACCCTCGATTCTCACCTCATTCCCTCCTCTCCTTCGCTTCCCTCCCTTTCCCCTACCTTTCCTCCCCGTGCCTTTCCCCCTCCTTCTCCCCTTCCCCTTGTCCTTCTCTTCCCCCTTTCCCCAAGCACCCTCCTCCACAGCGTTGGGCAGCAGAGCAGGGGTTGGGTGCATGAGGGGGGAGGCGTAGATGCGGGGGGAGGCGAACCACAGGCGATGCGGCCAGGGGGGAAGGCTCCACGCGGAGGGGGGAGGGCGGATTGCGCAAGGCTGCAAGGGGGAGTACCTGAAGGGGGAGGGGGGTTGGGCAGGGAGGCAGGGGAAAAGCAGAAAGCAGAGAGGAGTGGGTGAGGAAGGGGGGCGAGTAGGGTGGGCGCGGGGCGAAGGTGGAGCTGCAGTGTCCATGATCGCCGTGGGAGGGAGGGGGGGCATGGCAGGCAGTGGCAGCAGTGGCAGCAGTGGCAGCAGTGGCAGCAGTGGCAGCAGTGGCAGCAGTGGCAGCAGTGGCAGGCAGTGGCAGCAGTGGCAGCAGTGGCAGCAGTGGCAGCAGTGGCAGCAGTGGCAGCAGGGGCAGCAGGGGCAGGCAGGGGCACACACCACACGGCGTCGGGCTGGTCGTCCGCTGGACACACCTCCGCGCCCATCTCGCCCTCCCCTCCGCCCGCCTCCTCCTTCCGCTTCTCCTCTCCCTCCTCCTCGCCCGTTACATCACCCCCTAACTCCTCTCTCTCCGCCCCTCCCTCCTCTCTCTCTGCCCCTCCCTCCTCTCTCTTCCCCCCTCCCTCCTCACTCTCTGCCTCTCCCTCCTCTCTCTCCGCCCCCCCCTCCTCTCTCTCCGCCCCCCCCTCCTCTCTCTCCGCCCCTCCCTCCTCTCTCTTCCCCCCTCCCTCCTCACTCACTGCCTCTCCCTCCTCTCTCTCTACCCTTTCCTCCTGCGAATCTTCTATCCCCTCCCTCTCACTGCCTCCCTCCTCCTGCCCCTCCCCCGTTCCGCCCCCCTCTTGTTCCGCCTCTCTATATTCCTTAGCTCCAAGACACCATCTTCTTTCCCCCCCGCTTCCCCCGCTTCCCCCCGCCACCTCAACCCCTCTACTCTTCCGCCAGATGGCCACGTGCGGCACCACCAGCACCAGCCGCCAGCACAGCGCGCGCGCCTTATCGCGCAGCGCGCGCCACTCCGCCGCCCTGCCCGCCCAGCGCACGGGCGGCCCCGCCAGCACGAAGAAGCCCCCCGCGCGCAGCACGCGGTCCACCTCCGCCAGGTGCGTGCCGTCTGGGGCGGGGGAGAAGCGGGGGAGGGGAGGCGGAAAGGGAAGGGGGTCAAATGCCCACGAGCATGAGAATGAGAGCACGCGATTAGTGCGCGGGGGATCCGCGAGGAGCGCGAGAGAGCGTGGGGGAGTAACGGTGCACGTACTGGGGAGGCCAAAGGGGACTTGGCAGTGCGAGCAGTGCACGAGGTCGAACGCGAGCGGGGGGAACGGCAGGCGCATCGTCGCCAGAATGCCCACCAGCGCAGGCAGCCCGCGCTCGAGCACAAACTGCGCCTGCCCGCGGAACCTGTCGCGCGGGTCCAGCGACACGGTGATCATGCCCTGGCGCAGCAGCTCCACCGCGAACCCCCCCACCCCCGCGCCGATGTCGAGCGCCGTGCGCAGGCGCGACCCGAACGGAATGAAGTTGCGCAGTTGCGCCACGTACCGCTCCGCGCCGTCCGCTTCGGGCATGGCCGTCAGGGCGTGCGGGAAATGCCACGTGTTGCCACGTAACTCCATCCACAGGACGTTCCGCGGGTCCTTGAGCATTTTTGAGTGCGGTACGTTGTTCCGCCACACGCTCCATAGGCTATCCGGCCAGGGGGGCGCGCGCTGGTACCCGGGGGGAGGGGGGATCAGGCAGCGCGGGCGGGCGGAAGGAGGCGGACAGTGTCGCTCGCGAAAAACGTTGTCTGCGAAGGGAAAGTGGACGGCGACGTTTGGATCGTAGCACGGGATATGGTGGGTCCAGTTGGAGGGACATGGCGGGAAGTATCCGTCTTCAGTGAGCTCTCCGATCGACATCGTCTCAGCCGCCATGGCTGCTGTGTTGCTGCTGGTAACCGCCGGCGGCGAGATGGACGAATCAAATTGGAGGCGAAAGCGACCGTATGTGGGTGACGTCACGAGGAAGGAAAGGACGAGGAAGCCGCTAACGAGGGGGAGGGCGACATAGAACGACCAGCGCTTGTTGCGAAGCAGCGAGGTGAAAGAAAAGTCCCCTGACTTGAATGTTCGCATCGTTAGGGCCTGCAGCGCCAGGATTAATCGCCGGAGTATCATCTGGCTAGCTTCGCTGTTCGTATCGTATTCCTAGCATCACGCTGCACCAGATTGTGATACTTTTTACGTGTTATTACAAACGCTACTACGTACATACGCTACCGCGTGAGATTTATAATGTCCCAGGACGTACTAAAATAACAGGTCTTTCGACGCGTATGTGTGCATTGGTTGGGACAGCAGTGGAAGTTTGAGTTGCAGTCTGCCAAATGCCTGGGCTCCTCTCATACAGTTCAGTAGTACGGTTTTGGCCATGCTACTCATAGCCTGCACATCACAGCCGGCTGGGTTTTTCTGAGTCACTCCACTCGCGCTCGCAGACTGCCATCTTCGCAACGCTTCGCACGTTGCTGTCAGGTCGTAATGTGAATCAGCAGGAGCTTCTGAACCAATGCCGTGCCGTGCCTCGCAAAAAATGTCGGCGGGTTTGCCGCAGAAAAAATACTATAAAATTGTGATTCGATAAAAGCAGTAGGCACACAAATATCCTTACCGAAAATGAGATTGTTTTCTACCCAAAATGGTTCATTGTCAATATCGAAACTCAACTCTAGCCGTTAGCCCAATTCCACTCATCGCACTGTCCCTAGGTTTCATCAGCACATACTGTCGGTACCACCAGTCAATCAGCATACCTCTCGGCAGTCATTCGATCCCGTTAGTTGATCCGCCTTTGAGAACGACTATCCCGAGCCGTCGATTAGGGACGTGGATACAGTATGGTGAGTTTTTGCTGCGAAATAGTCGAGGTGGGTAGATTTCTGTTATCTGTAGGGTTGCTTACCTTTCGTGGATGCCGTCTTGGCAGATTCACTTCGTGCTCCTCATTAGCCGGCAAGGGAAGGTCAGGCTGGCAAAATGGTATTCCGCGTACTCTCAGAAGGAACGGACGAAGGTATGCGCATCCCGTCGCGAAGCATCTGTCTACTTGCTCTCGTGGTGGTTTCCGACTGAATTCGTGCGTCCCTAAAAGTTATTTGTGAAGCTAATGTATCAAGTCGATGTCCACATGCCAGATCACGCGGGAGCTGTCGGGAACGATACTCAGCAGACCGGCTAAGCTGTGCAATTTCGTGGATTGGAGGGGTTACAAGGTTGTTTACAAGCGGTAAGACACTTCGACTTCGTGAGCTCGCGTTCAACTGCAAAGGAAGCTTACGCTTGTCTGATGAATTCCGCCATAAGGTTCCCTTGCACGCGAAACCTGCGCTTGTCTGCTGAAGTCTGCCAAAAGGTCCAAGTGCTTCAGCCAGCTGACGCTCGTGATGCTGGTGTGGTGGGCTGTGCATTGCAGGTACGCGAGCCTGTACTTCTGCATGTGCGTGGACATCAACGACAACGAGCTGGAAACCCTCGAGATCATCCACCACTACGTCGAGGTGCTCGACCGCTACTTCACCAACGTAAGCGATGTCCCCTCCCGCATTTGCTCCCATGCCTCTGCTTTCTAGTGCTGCCGTTTACCAATATACTAGCCTCTTATGGTGGCTCTCCACCTGCTGCTGTCATTCTGCAGGTCTGTGAGCTCGATCTCATCTTCAACTTTCACAAGGTACGCCTATATTGCACTAGTGGCACTGCTACTCAGTTGTTTTGCAGTTTAGGTCAGGAGGCATTATATTGTTGTTTCCTACCTAACCTTCCATCCAATGTGTTTGTACTGACCTTCCAGGCATACTATATACTAGATGAAATCCTCATAGCAGGAGAGCTACAAGAGTCGAGCAAGAAGTCCGTTGCAAGAGTGATAGCGGCTCAGGTAAGCTCCACCCAGTTACCTGTATTACCTTCACTTGTTGCAACAGCCTTCTCACTGACGCTCCGGTCTGTTTCTCACTCCAGGACACGTTGGTGGAGACAGCGAAGGAGCAGGGTGGTAGTTTGTCCTCCATCATTGCTCAAGCAACACAGTAGTCATGGTTTCGATTCTGTGATTGATACAAACCACCTTTACATGATAGTTTTTGTTCCTGTACAGAATCGCTAACCAGCATTTTTGTTTGAGGAATTTACTTCTAAAAGGTGTGTTTCAAATCCATCCATTCGTGATTGTGGAGATTCCTGCTAAAGGTGTGATTAAAATCGAGTCATGATGTGATGTGACTCATGAAAACCCAAACCCATGTGAGTGTTGTTTGTGGCGTGTCCTGCACACCATGGTGACGTGCATGCCCGAAACGCGTCACCTCGCTGCTGCCTTCATTCCTGAATGTCCGCACATTCATGTTCCTTTCTCCCCCCTCAGCCACAGCATGTTCTCTCATCCGGCCCACCAGAGCGTATAGGAGATTCTCAGCTCCAGGGCAGTCGAACTCTCCTTAGTACCCTGAGCAAGGCGCGCAGTTGGCGCTGCTGCTCGTAAACGCTTTTTCGTTAGGTCGATTTTCCGTCTGCGCGACACCCTGTGTTTCTTGACGCTTTTCTGTTTGTAGAGTCGCGGGTGTGTGCGATCTTTGTGCAGCTTTGCAGTCGGTGCTTTAGATTCGTGGCAGTGTAATCGCGAACACGACGATCATGGGTAGGAGGAACAGAGGAGGAGGCAAGCGAGGGGGGGGCAGCGGCGGAGGAAGCCGGGGAGGCGGGGGCGGGCGGAATGGTGGATCGGCGGGAAGGGGACGCGGCGATGCTCCTCACGGGGCTGCGAACGACGTTGGTGGAAGACCGAACGCCCAAGGAAGATCGGACGGGCGAGGCGGTGCGAACGAGGCTGGGGATGGCGGAGCCTCAGGGCGAGGCTTTCGAGGAAGAGGACGCGCCATGAGGCCCGGCCGTGGCCGTGGCCGTGGCATTGGCGCGCAGTGGTCAAATGAGGATCAAGCTTCGCAGAGGAATCAGCCGCGGCAGCTGGGCGCTAGCGGCGGGGGTGTCGCGGCAAGCGGAAGGGGCATTTACTCGGCGGTGAAATTCGTGTACGAGTACGAAACTGTTCGCGGGGGCGGATGTGACACGGGCGACCTTGACGAGGCGAGGGGTTCGGAGCAGAGGGATGTGACGGGGAAGGGTGATGCGGATCACGAGGGTAAGGAGAAGATTGGAGGAGCGGCAGAAAGACGAGCAGCGCAGGGAGCACGCGGCGGTGCGGAGTGGCATGGGAGGAAGGGGCGCGACGTGTGGTTGAGGTTGGCCTGTGGATCCGCGCGAACTCAAGGTCGGAGGGGCGGGAAAGGTGCGGCTGGTGGCGGTGGTGGTGGGGTGCATGCAGGAGCAGGCGGCCACAGAGGCCTCGGGTACGGCTCCCACAGGGCGGAGGTATCAAGTGGTGCTGGGGCGGCCGAGGGTGCAGCGAGGACGTTCAGGCCGGGCGGAGTGCTGCGAGGGGACGGCGAGGGTGGGGCGCATGAGGAGAAAGGCGCGCTCGCAAGGGATGGGGAAGAAGGAACGGACGGAAGGGATACCAAGGAGAGGGGTGTGGAAGGGAAGGAGGAGGACGAGGTGATGGCTGTGGAGGAGAAAGCGGAGGGCGGCAAAGGTGGAGGTGATGGGACGACAGAGGTGGGGCTATCGAGTGGCTCGCAGGTGGGAGGGGCCAGCAGAGCAGGAGGAGGCAGCAGCGGCGCAGAGAGGGAGGTGGTGGCGCTGCAGCAGCATGTGCGCGTGGCGGGTGAGGAGGAGCGTGGGCGTGACACGAGTGAGTTGGGGGAGCCAGCTGTGCCTGGGACGGCAGTGGAAGCAGAGCAGGGCAGCGCGGTGGCGGTGCTGCCTGTGTTCTTCGACAGGGGAGGCTCCTCCACTGGGGCCCATGCACCGGCTCAGCCCTGCTCGGATGCTGCTGCTGCTGCTGCCGCTCCTGCTCCTGCTCTCGCTGAAGCTGGTGCCATGGGTCTGTCTAAGCGAGCTACTGGGTCAGGTGCTCCATCAGGTGCTGGGTCAGGTGGTGCTGTAGGAGCGTGTGAGCTGCTGCCAGTGGTGGAAGAGAGGGTGGGGCTTCTACCTGTTTTGGATGACAGGCAAAAGCGCTTGCCTCTTTCCGTAGGAGCAGTGGAAGCAGCTGAAGTGACGTGTCCTGCGGACGTGGCAGTGCGATTTGAGAGGCTCCACGTGGGCGTGGAGGCCATAGGTGCAGACAGGGTGGGTGGGGAGGCGGAGGGAGGGGCGGAGGGTGAGGAGAAGGAGGGGCAAGACAGCAGAGGAGTGCAGCAAGGAAGAAGAGGCCAAGGCCAAGAGGCCCTAAACCCTAAACCAGGTCAGGGAGGTCTAGGGGGTCAAGGGAGCGAAGGACAGCAGTGGGGTCAGGGCGGTTGGCAGCGAGGCAGGGGAAGGGGGCGTGGGGACAGAGGAAGAGGCAGGGGTGGTGGGGGGCGGAGGGGCGGGGGAGACGAGCAACAGGTGGAGGTGGGGAGCGGGCAGTGGGCGTGGGGGCGGGGGCAGGGGGGAATGCTTCTGGGGGGAGTGGAGGACGTGGGATATGTGACTGTTGGTGGTGTGACTGTATCGACAGGTGGTGGTGTGGGTTGGCGTGGGGGGAATGAAGGACGGGGGTATGGGGGTGGGGGGAGGCAGGGGCGTGGAAGGGTTGGAGATGCGGGGAGGGGTAGGGGGAGGGGGAGGGGTGGGGAAAGAGGTGGGATGGGAAGAGAGGGAGAGAGTGAGGAGGAAGATGAGAGTGGGGAAGAGAGTGAGGAGGGCAGCGATAGTAGCATCGATGCTGACGTGGCACTGGACTTTATGGATAATCTGGTGGATGACAGCGATGATGCTGGCATGGAGGAGGGCGAGGCGGAAGATACGAATGAGGAGGTGGTGGTGACGGAGGGAAGGGTGGCAGAGGGGGAAAAGGTGGAGGAGGAGGAACAATTGGAGGAGGAGGCAGCAGAGGAAGAAGCGGGGGAGGAAGAGGCGGACAAGGAGGTATTCGATGAGGAGGACGAGGGCAAGGAGGGCGAGGATGAGGAAGTGGAAGTGGGGGACGGGGAAGAAGCAGATGCAGTGGCAGACGAGGGCGAGGGCGAGGGCGGGAGCGAGGGCGAGGGCGAAGGCGGAGTGTGCTACGAGGAGGAGCGGCACACTGGGCTGGGCTATTGCGCTGGTGGCTCCGTGCCCTCTCCCGAGGAGTTCTGGAACCACCTCAAGCGCGTCAGGGGCTCGAAGCAGGGGGTGGAGGCGGGCGACAGAGGAGGAGCGAGGGCAGGTGGGGCAGCAGGGCAGGGTGAAACGAGGAAGGGCGGTGATGCAGAAGGGATGGATGCTGGTGTAGATAGGGTGAAGGATGAAGGTGAGGGGGAGGGGGATGCGGACAAGGGGGAGCATGAGGACAAAGGAGAGGATGAGGAAGAAAGTGATGATGAGGAGGAGGAGGAAGAGAGTGAGGAGGAGGGGGAGGAGGAAGAGAGCGAGGATGAGGAGGAAGGGGAGAGCGAGGAGGGCATGGAGGAGGAGTTGGGCGAGGAGTGGGAGAGGGAGCTTGAGGCGGCCTACCAGAGGGAGCTGGCTCGCCGCCAGACAGGCAAGGGCAAGGGCACTGCTGCTGCCTCTGCTGCTGCTGCTCCCCCCTGCCCCGCCTCTGCTGCTGTTGCTCCCCCCTGCCCCGCCTCTGCTGCCCCTGTTGCACGGGGTACTGCAGCCCTGGGACGAGGCAGAGGGCGGGCGGCGAGAGGAGGGGTTGCGGGGAGAGGAGGGGGGGCAGGGAGGGGGAGGGCAGGGCACGCAAGAACAGGAAGGGGGGAAGCGGGGGAAGGAGAACGAGCAGGAGCAGGAGGTGCGGAGGGCAATGGTGGCAGAGGAGGGATGGGGCGCGGGTCAAAGAAGGCTGCGAGGAAGGCAAAGAGGGCCCTGGCGAAGCAAGCCAAGAAGGCAGCCAAAGGTGGGGGGATGCAATATGGGGGATGGGTGAGAGTGTGGGATGGAGGGAAAGGCGAAGAGGTGGAGGAGGAATTTCGAGAATCTGCAGGGGGGCGAAAGCAGTGGAAGACGGGTAGCACTGAGAGTCCAAGTGGTTGGGCTGCTTGTTCTGAAACCCCACTCTTCTACCTGTATACTCCCCGTTCTCTCCTTCAATCCTTCTTCCTCTCCCTCCACCCTTCCTCCCCCTCTCCCCGCCTCCTTCACCTGGCAGCGGCGGGCAGCAAGAAGGGGCGCAGGAAGCAGGCGATGCAGGTGAAGCGCATGCAGCGAGCCATGGGTTTCAACCCCGGCGCTGCGGATGTGGACCTCATGCACCTCAACCAGGTGAGCTGCCATGGGTAGTGCGCCCGCCTAGAATCAACCTGACGCTGCTGCGCAGTGTGTCGGGTTGCAACCGGTCTCTAGGCATCTAGTTTCCAACTCTTCGCACCTGCGCCCTGGGCCTGCCCTTGCCCTGTTCGTGAGCAGGGCATGCAGCAGGTGGCGGTGGGCCGTATGGACGCCTTTGCCTCGCCTCCACTGACACAGCACCAGTTTTCCATGGTGCGTTGCTCATTGCACCTGCTCCACCTCACACCAATGGTTATGTGATCATGTGTGCAGATGTGCATGTATATGGTCATGCAGCAACGGGTAGCTTTCTGCTGATGTTGTAACGCACGCATGGCTGCTTGCATGCAGACATATCAGGAATGCCCATCCACCATTTCCCCCTCCCTATCCCGCAGGTGCAAGGCATGGCACGCTCATACCGCCTGGCCACCACGGTGCAGCAGAGCGGCAAGAGAAAGTATGTGCGCCTGCCTTTCTCTCCACCCACACCTACTTCACCACTTGTGCATTGGCTCCTTCACCTCGCCCTGCGTGTTTGTATCTCATGCGTGCTGCCTCCCCTCCACCTCTCTCAATCCCTCCTCTCACGACCCTGTCTCTCTGTGTCTTTGTGCCGTGGACGCATTGTACCGTGGGCTCCTCTCCCGACGACGCCGTGCACGCATTGTACCGTGGGCTCCTCTCCCGACGACGCCGTGCACGCATTGTACCGTGGGCTCCTCTCCCAACGACGCCGTGCACGCATTTGTCTGCTCCTGTCTTGTCCGCATCTGCGCTGCGCCACCCAGGATGCTGCTCTTTCGCTCGGGGCGCCACACTGCAGTGCCACAGGGCGATGACATGGCTCGCCTGGAAGAGGTCTGCTGCTTTTGGGGGGAGACCTTTGTCGGGCAGTTTGTGGGGCAGACATTCGTGCAGATAGTCCAACAGTTTGTGTTGCAATTTGTCGGGTTGTTTGTCGGGCAGTTTGTTGGGCAGTGCCGGGTTGCCAATGTACCCACCCCTGTGCCCTCTGCGTCCCTCACATGTTTCCACAACTTCTTCTGGAACCACAACTGCCAACTTTGCTCCTCCCTTTCTTCCCCCGCCTGCCAGATTCTCGGGCGCTACAACCTTGCAAGAGCCGCTGCCGCTGAGTGTGGTGGTGTGAGCAGTGGGCAGGCGCAGCGGGGGGTGAGGAGGAAGGGTGGGGACTACAGAGAGCGGCGGCTGGCGCAGTACATGGAAGACATGGATGTGGAGCATGGCATCGCTGCGATGGAGGAGATGATGCTCATGGTGGGTGATGATGATGACAGTGATGAGGACGAGGATGATGATGCGGAGGATGAAGATGATGAGAGTGGGGAGGAGGATAGCGAAGAGAGTGAGGAGAGTGATGGGAGCGAGGAGGATGGGGAGAGTGATGGGAGCGAGGAGGATGGGGAGAGTGATGGGAGCGAGGAGGATGGGGAGAGTGATGGGAGTGCTGAGAGTGAGGAGGGTGGGGAGAGTGATGGAAGCAGTGAGGGCGAAGACGCGTTTCTGGAGTTGGAGGAGGAGGAGTGGCTTGTGCCGGGGGAAGCGGGTCGTGTGTCGCGCAAGCAGCGGAGGGCGCAGGCTCAGGCACGGCTGATGCAGGCACTGGGGGAGCGCATGCAGAGGGACAAGGCAGCACGGAAGAAGGCGTTGCGGGAGAAGGCACAGGAGGGGAGGGAGCGGGGTGGAAGGGAGAGAGCGGTTAGTGGAGAGGAGGAGACTTTGTGGAGGAGGAAGGGAGGAGGTTTGGTGCAAGTGGGGGGAGGTAAGGGGAGGCGGGGCGTGAGGGAGGGGCGGGTGGGTAGCGGGTCAGGGAGGCAGAGGTATGCGTCGAACCCTGTGGTGTTTGTGTCGCGGGGCATCATGGCCACTGATGTGCTTGTAACAGACGAGGGCGACCAGGAGGTGAATGAGGTGATTGTGACTGTACAGAATGTGCAGCAGCCAGGCTCAGAAGCAGAGGAGGTTTCGGGGGTTCTGATGAGTGAGGAAGGTGCAGAAACGGGTGTGGCTGCATCCTCTGGTGCGAGCCCTACAGGCCGTGTGGCGGGTCTTACAACAAGGGCAGCGGATGCTGCTGCTGCAGCCAGTGCAGGGGCCTCTGTTGTCCTGCAGGGACAGGTGGCTGGTGAGGCCATTGGTCAGGAGGAGAGAAAGACTCTTCCGAGCAAAGGTGGGGCAAAGAGTGGCAGGCAGGGTATCGGAGAGGGAAGAGGAAGCCGACGAGGGCGAGGTGGCAGGGGTAGTGGAGGGAGGGGAGAAGGTAGGTATGACAGGAGCAGTGTGGGTGGCTGTGGTGTGGCAGCGGATTTTGCAAGTTTTGAGGCGCACACGAGGGGGTTTGGGTCGCGCATGATGGCACAAATGGGCTTCCGCATTGGCTCTGGCCTTGGGAAGGACAAGCAGGGCATTTCCGAGCCTGTGCAAGCTGAACTACGCCCCAAGGGTCTTGGACTTGGAGCGCGTATATAGCAGAGCTGGATAGTTTGTGGATTATGATTGTGTGTGTAAGGTTTGTTTTGTTTTCATGAAAATTGACGTTCTCGTGTTTAGCACAAGGCTGCTTCTGAGAGCGTCGCGCAAGGTCTTGTTTGGAGTTGGTTGCTTCTCCGGTGTTTCCTTGCCCCGCAGTTGCGAGGCTCAGCCCCTCTTTCCTTGCATCTTATTGGTCACACGCTCCTACTGGTCAAATCTTCAGTCGCAAGCGCCTACGCGCCTCGCTGTTCCATCTATGCAACAAACAAAGCGACCGTTTTCTTGCGCCAGCGCATGCCGAGCATACGATGCGACGCAAATAAGCAAGATGGGGGGGTAGTTTCTCTCCCGCCCAGGATTGTCCTGCGAGGTTTGGGGGGAGTGCACTCACTGACTTTTTCCCACTTTCCGCCACCCATCTCTGGAGTATATATTGCACTGCCTGCGTCAGCAGGCAGTGCAATGAGTCAGCGGGCAAGTAAAAAATAAAACCCACTCGGAAGACATGCCATTCGGGAGGCATCAACCCTAAAATGGCATGGAGTCCGAATGGGTTTTAGTTTTTTTTCTGCCCGCGGTCAGCATGCTGACTCACTCGGTAGCGTCGTCTAGCGAAATGGTAGCGCTACCGAGCGCTACCGACGCTACCAAGTGCAATATATTGCGGAAAGGATTGCATGAAACCAGTTCCTGCCCGTTCTGACCTAGGGTGACCTATCTAGGCTTTTGACTAGGACAAAAAACGATTCCGTACAGCTCCAACCATGTTTTACGCGTCCTCGTCGCCATGTTCCTCATGGTGGGTTTAGCAGCGTGTAGCGTTTCCAGGATATTCGTTTGTAAAATAGAGAAGTTACCCAGAAGAAGTAAGGCTGCTCATCAGCCCACACAGCCACCGAAATTCCCAAGGCGAGCCAACCATCGCTGAGCAACCCCCGTTCTCACTCACCACAGCACTCTCCTGCTGCCAGCATTTCTTGGCTGCTAGTTCTCTGCACGTCAGTCGCCTGACGCGTCTCGCGTTGCGGCAAAAGACTGTTTCTAGTTGGTCGCGGTTGTGTTTATGAAAGAGTAGTGATTCAGGTGACTTACGAGAGGTCAGGAATGTTGTATTAGGCGATTTAGTAACGCATTCCAAATGCAGCTCGTTTTAGTCCTGAATCACTCGAGAGCAGGAACTGCTTCGAGTTTTCAATCACTCGTTGAGACGCAGAATGAAGGCTGCTTTACCTTGTCATCACAGATGGTTCAGTGGATTCGTACCCTAGATTCTAGTAGGAGGAGCAGAGGCCGACAATCAAATGTCATAATGTAGAAGCGTACCATTAGCCGAAGCCTTTCTTTTAGCTGATAGTGGTTCTGTCTGCTTGTAGTAAGACGTCACTCGCATATCCTCGCATAAACAATGGCGTTAATCCAAAATCTTTCGTGGCCACGGTCGCCGAGATCTCGACCTTCACGGTTTCGCATGGCACCCGCAGTATTTGTTCAGCTAACCATTCTGACTGCGATCGTAACCGCTATAATCACCGCTATCCCAACAGGTGAGCCCCTCGTTTCCGGAGACCTGAGAGGTTTGGCCGGGCTTGACAAGCAGAGCGGGAATACAGACACTCGACTGTACCGAATTCCCAGCCTACTTGGCCTTGCCTTCACCTGCTGCTGTTCTTCGCCACACTTTTCGTTCCATTTACCCTCATTGCATCCGTGCCTGGTACTTGATCGTTATCCCCTCTTCACTCCCGGCCCCCCACTCTCCCAGCCGCTATTCGTCTCCCCGTCACTCGACCGGCAAATCGCAGCCCGCATTCGAGCCGTGACGTAGACATTCACGATGACGTTGATGATGACAGCGACGGAGCAGAGCACCCGAGTCAAGAATCTCCTCTTCCGGAAGCCGATGAGAGCGAGATCGACAGTGTGGACGAGTTGCATGATTCGGGGGAAGCGGAGGACTTGGAGGGCGCTGCGCCAGTTAACCACACCAACGCCGACACCGGACACGCGGACGACGGGTCAGAGGACGGGGAAAGCGGAAATTCCCCATCTCCTCCGTCTGCGCCTTCGCCTCCGCCAGTGGTGTGCGCGGGGGCGTGCTCGCAGCGGGAGTGGGAGGCGCTGAGTCCGAGCGCGACGGAGGGGCGGTGCGCGTGCGTGCACCCCGCGGAGCTGGCGGTGCGGCTGTCCAACGCGACGGCCGTGGAGATGCACTTCGCATCCTTCGTCCACGTACGTTGCACGCATGGCGCTTGCCGTGTAACGGTCGTATGTGCGTCCGTTGCCGCATAACTCATGCAAGTACCACTCATCCGCTCATCCGCTCACCCGCCTATCGTCTCACGCCTCGCCTCCTTGCCGTGCACGCCTCCCACCACCCCCCCTCGCCCGCCCGTCAGGACCTAGCAGAGCAGCTGCGCCTGCCCGACTCGTGCATCCTGCGCCACTCCCTCTCCCGCACCGACCACACCGCCGCCATCGTCACTCTGCTGCTCCTGCCGCGCTATCAGCCCACCTTCCCCAGAAGCTTCCTGGTGCAGGTAGACTCGCGGATGAGGCGGCACCAGATACACCTGGATGCCAGGCTGTACGGGGAGTACTCGCTTGTGGCCATCACGCAGCTGCTGCCGCCCCTTGCGCCTCCCTCCCTGCCCGCGCCGTTGCCACCGCCCGTTCCGGGCCCACCAGCCCCAGGCAACAGCGGCAGCAGCAGCGGTGGCGGTGGTGGTGGTGGCTACACCACCAGCGATGCCAGTGGTAACAGCAATGTCGTTGACAGTGCGAGTGGCAGCAGCAGCAGCAGCAGCAGCAGCAGCAACAGCACGAGCAGCAAAGGAGGAAGCAGCCCTAGCCCGGGGGGGGTAGCCAATTACAGTGGCTCCAGTAGCAATAGCCTTGGCTCTGGCACTGCCACGGGAGGGGTGGGCGCACAGGCACAGGCAGGGGGAAACAGTGCAGGGGAGAATGGGAGCGAGCAGCAGGGGATGAGTGTGAACATGGTAGTGCTGCTGGTGGTGGGTGCGGTGGCGGTGACTGCAGTGGGCGTGGGTGCCCTGCTGTACTGCACTTGGATGCCTCGCCGCACCGTTGATCCAAGTATGTCACATGCAATGTGCTTGCATGCACTTGTTATCCCCTGCATGGTCTTGTCTGGAGACTCAACTCCTCCCTTTGCTATAACTGTGCTTTTCATGCTGCTTGTATGTCCAGAATCCCACGCACGCCCATCTCTCCCCCTCTCCCACTCCCGTCGTCACACGTGCAGCTGAGGCAGAGGTGGTGATGAAGGGCAAGGGGTCAAGCAGCGACCTGCTGCACCCAATCCATCCTGCAAATGAGGATGAGCATGCGCATGGGGATGGGGATGCCTATGCGGATTGCTGCCCCGCGTCAAGCACAGGTGGATTGACGGCAGGGGCAGCAGGGGCGTACAGGAGGATGGGTGTAAGCGAGGATGGAGCGGACACAAGGGCAGATCCTGGAGACGACCGTGTGCCTGCTGCTGTATCCGCGACTCCACTGCCCGCTGCAGGGCAGGGTTGCGGGCAGGGCAGCGAGGCCAACAGCGATGGGGGAGTTGCAGGGGGCAGCGGAAAGGGAGGATTGGGTGGGCTGTCCGGGGTGAGGGAGTTCTCACTCCAAGAAATGGCTCTTGCAACCAACAGGTACGACTCCTTTTCCTCTCCTCTCCTTACTCTCTCTTGTTCTCTCTCCTATTCACCCTCTCATTCTGGTCTGACCAAACTTCTCCCTCTAATCATTCACTCCTCAAAACCCCCACCCTCTCCACTCCACTCTATCTCTCCCTCCCTTTCGCCCCTCCCTTCTCCTGTCCCTCCCCGCCCCCGCTGCAGCTTCCACGAGTCATCAGTACTGGGCGAGGGAGGCTTCGGCCGAGTCTACCGCGGCACCATCCCCCCCTCGCCACACTCCACCTCCTCCTCCTCCCCTGCTGCTCCTATCGAGGTAGCAATAAAGAGGATGGACCGGGGCAGGGGGCAGGGCGACAGGGAATTCCTGGTGGAGGTGGAAGTACTGTCACGCCTGCACCACCGCCACTTAGTTAAGCTTCTAGGCTATTGCGTGGTACCAGGCGAGCACATGCTGTGCTACGAGCTACTACCCAACGGCAGCCTGCACTCGTGGCTGCACGGGCCGCACTCCCACGCCGCCTTCCTCGACTGGCCTGCGCGGGTCAGCATAGCAGTGGGAGCAGCGAGGGGCCTGGCGTATCTGCACGAGGGGTCGCAGCCGGCCGTGATTCACCGGGATGTGAAGCCGTCCAACGTCTTGTTGGATGCGCGCATGAGCCCCAAGCTCGCTGACTTTGGGCTCGCCAAGGCGGCGCCGCAGGGGGTGGATGAGCACGTGTCCACCCGTGTCATGGGCACCTTTGGGTGAGTGGAGGGTCGGCTGAGGTTGAATCTAGCACATGATCGATGGAAGCATGACCAAGCATCTGGCCGTCTTTTGATCAGCGCCATTTCTCATGCTATCCCTCCTCTTCACTCTCCTCCCTTTTCTGTCCCCCCTCCTCCACCCAACCCCTCCGCCCTCACCCACCCGTGTCCCCCATGCAGGTACGTGGCGCCAGAGTATGCAATGACAGGCCATCTGATGGTGCCCAGCGACGTGTACAGCTTCGGGGTGGTGCTGCTCGAGCTGCTGTCGGGCCGCAAGGCCGTTGACACCTCCAGGCCGCTCGGCCAGGAAAGCCTCGTGCTCTGGGTGAGTGCTGTGGGTGCATGCTGCCAGTGTGCAGAGAGGGCAATAGGGATAGATAAAACGCCCTCTTCACTATAAGCCTTTGTTCCTTTTGCTTCCTGAATCATTCATGTTCCATCTCACCCCCCCCCCCACAATCCCTTCCATCCCTCTTCCCACCCTGAATCCACCCGCCACCCTCCACCCTCCACCCTCCACCCTGTGCCCGGCCCTATGATCACGGCAGGCCCGTCCTCTCCTCGCCAAGCCATCCCGCTACCACCACCTGCTGGACCCGCGCCTGCTCGCCTGCCCTTCACCGCCCCCCCCTGCTGCGCTGCACACAGTGGCAGCGCTCGCCCATGCCTGCGTCCACAGCGACCCCGCCGCCCGCCCCTCCATGAGCACTGTTGTTGAGCTGCTGCGCCGCGCACAACAGACAAGCAACGCCGACCAGAAGCAACCGTCGTTTGCGTCGCAGCTGTCAATGGATACACTGTGCATGGCGTCGCCCTGTGTGCAAGAGCAGGGCGGGCCGATCATGCGTGATTCCAACCCTGATTCAATCCTGGCGCCCCACAGTCCCCGGTGTGACTCCAGCGCACCTGCCCTGCCTGGACTCGCTACGAGCCCACCTGGCAGCGCCAGCACCCTGCCTTGCTTCCCCCCAGGGTCCTCTCTCATGGATAGCTCGCAGGTGACTCGCAGCAGGAGCAGCAGAGACAGCAGAAGAGATCCATCTGCTGCCAGCAGTCGACGCAACAATGGCAACCCCCCTGTTGCCAGAAGTAGGAGCAGCAGAAGCAGCAGAAATAGTGGAACAGGAGTGTGTCCCCTCCCCACTGCTGGGTCTCAGCTTCCGCCTCGAGCTCACTGTGACTTGGGGAGGACACAGCACAGAGACACAGGCACATTGCTGGATGGAGCAGAGATATCCGATCCGGATTTGGAGGATACTGCCACGTCAGCACCAACGCATGCCATGGTGGAGGCTGACCGTGACCTGCACCCTGCAAGCAGTGCACAAAATGGGGTCCTGGCCGCAGCACCATTGGCACACTCCCTGGCCGTGGCTGGTGCTACGTCTGCAGCTGAATTGTCCGCTGCTGGCTCTTGCACTGTGCGTGCAGCTCTACAGGAAAGTCCGGCCAGTGTGATTGAGTCGGGGCCGCACTTCTCCCCTTACCTCCATGACCAACCAACCCCCGGTGAGCCCTCGCGGTTCAGTCCCAGCTTGAGTACTGCAGCCTGTGAAGCCAGCTCTCAGGCTTTGGCGGCAAGGGACATGGATGGACAGGTTGAAGGGGGTCAACCAGTCTCCATGTCACGCATGGCAGGGGGTGTGCAGCCTACGTTACCATTGAGAGGAGGGATTGAAGCGCAAGAAGAAAATTCCTGGCAGATGCTGCCGCTAGCAGTTGTGACGAGCACTCCAGTGTTCCGATTGTCCGATTGTGTAGGGAACAAACAGGAACACACGGAGGATATGGTTAGGATAGATAAAACAAGCTGTGGATCGAATTCCCAACATATTTTTCTGTATACAAGTGATTTTTAGGTTGTAATTTCTTGAAAGCTGTATTCCAGTAGAGTTTTTATTGGAAGGGTGTTATTGTAATTGGAAGGAAAACGTTGGCAACGTAGATAGACATGACAGATAGTGAGGTGTTCGTGTAGCAGATTTCTTCCTAGAGGTGTATGTTATTTCAGCGAATGAGCGAAGCTCAGCTACTGGGCGAGTGAATGCTCGCCTGGTTACTGCAGGTGGCTCACCACCTCATCTCAGCTCACCACAGCCCCACCACCTATGATTCTTTGGAGAGCTCTGGGTTTGGCTCAGACTGCTCTTCCGAACTATTTAGGTGCCTCTCGTGGCCTCTGATATTTCAATTTAGGCCCGCACCATTGCCTCACCCTAGCACATTGGCAGACTATCTTGATTGACGAATGTGATCCTTCGTTTATACTTGTTCCTGTTGTTTTTGTCCACGACCAAATGCTGTGGGTTTGTTGTGTGTGCTCAGGCGAAGGGTCCCCCGCGTAGACAACAAGCGTTCCAGAATTCAGCCTGATGGCAAGTACGTGGGCTGACCCTGAACTCGCCGTTCTTCTTCCTTATATCCCGCTTGGCGAGGCGTTGCTTGCCTGGCCTTTCGATGCCTGGGAAGTGTCATTTGTCGAGCGGAGATCGGAATAGCCCGTGCTTTAAACCAATTAGTGCACCCTCCCCGTGTGCTCTTGTTGACCTGTCGTCCGGGACATTACCTTCCGATAGCTATGACGGCTTCGTGATCATTCCTTCCGGGACGTTGTTGGTAGCTCCTGCGTTTGTACCGCAAAGGTCCTGATAGCTCGATTACTTACCCACTCGTGGTTTCCTGTCTCTGCAGGCCCGCGTGCTTGTTCAAGACCTGGGCTGGGCGAAGCAGTTGACAACGAGTCTCCCTCCAAGGTTTGCAATGCGCAGTATTTCTTGTGAAAGCGAAATGTGGTAGAAGTGTTGCCGACGTATTGTCAGATGTCTGTAATTTCGTAAATATTATTCAAAAATTATATTGCACAAGTACAGCCAAGGTGAATTATAAGTTATGTCGCGATACAAAAATTCCATTCAAATGTGAGCAATTTCTACTAATGAAAAGTGGGCAATCCATAAGAAACGTTCCTCATCCACCATTCTATTCCGCGAGCGTAGGCGGAATCCAGCAATACCCCTGAGTGCGGCGGTATCCCACACGCTCTGCCAGCTCGTCCGCGTGATCAGGGCCCCGGCTGCCTTGTTTGTAGGGGTGCAGGGGGAGGGCGCCCTGGTCGATGCGGTGCAGCAGCGGCGTGAAGATCTCCCATGCAGCCTGTGAGGGGAGGCACGGGAGAGGGTCACAGAGATGGGAGGAATGGCAGAGAACAAAGGGTGCACCTATGAAGCCTACAGAAATTCAGACAAAACTGTTTTAACTGTAATGAGATGTGTCTAGTCTTAGAGTAAGCATCCTCCCTGAGATTGCCGTACCTTGAGCTCGTCTCGGCGCACGAAGTGCTGCTGGTCGCCATTGATGCTGCAAGGGGATGCATGAGGGGGATCCACATGCCAAACACGGGAAGGTGAGCTCAACAGAACAGCCAACAACGAGCAGACACGACACGGCGGGCAGACACCTCCAAGGAGTGCACATAGCAGCATGGCCTGTCTGTGCTGACCTGTCGAGGATAAGGCGCTCGTATGCCTCGGGGATGACCACCCCAGAGTAGCGCTGGCTGTAGCTCAGATCCAACTCACTCATCGTCGCTGCCATCTCCAACCCTGGCTTCTTCACCTGCCACCATGCCACCACGCCATGCACCACACCATGCCGTGAGTCCCAACAACTTATAAATTTTGGATATCGTCTGCTCCATGAGACGCATAGCATGCATTAATGAGCCACCCATCTCCTCCCAAGCACCTCTTGGCTCACCGTGAGCTTCATGTACATGGCCTCTGCTGGCTGCAGCCGCATCACAAACTCGTCCCGCGAGTTCCGCCCACCTGCCCAACATCGTTGCAGGGTCAGGGGGGGAGGGGGAGGGAGGAAGGGGAGGGTGAGGTGGGGGGAGGCAGTGAGGGACAGGGGCATGCATCAATTCTTGACAGGTGATAATGTGAGATATAGAGAGCAAGGGCGAGACGAAGAGCAGGCGCACAAGAGGGAAGAGTGAGGACTCAGGAGCGTATGCGAGACAAGATGGTGCGAGTGAGCTCACAGCCAAATATATCTCCCGGCACGTCATGGAACTGCACTCGGATCTCCGCCTTGCGTGATTCCAGTGCCTTGCCCGCCTTCATTATGAACGGCACCCCTGCACGCCCCCAGTCAAGGCAGTGGACGGACAGCAACTGATGGGAAGCGGTGGAAGACAGCGAGTGACACTGTGTGGCTCAAATGTGGAAATGGGATGAGATTCGCACACAGCAGAGTGGATATTGGTGGGGGGGTGGCAGCCAAGCGGACCACACCGCACAGTGCACATCACAATGCACAGCCCAGCGCACGACACACCTCACGATCCCACCACACCACACAGCCCCTCTCACCATCCCAGCGCTCGTTCTTGATGCGGAGCACAAGAGACGCGAAGGTGGGCATGTGGGAGCCGTCAGGCACCGTGGGGTCGTCGGTGTACCCGTCGTACTGCCCCAGCACCACCTCGTCCTCCCTGATGGGCTGCATGGCGCGCAGCACCTTCACCTTCTCGTCTCGGATGTCCTCCGCCTGCACTGACACCGGCTTCTCCATCGCCACCAGGCACAGCACCTGGGGGGAGAGGGGGTGAGGAAGAGTCCAGGCCACGGGGAGTTTGCGCAGTGCATGGCTGAATGGAAGCCTGGTGCGGAGGAGGCGTTTCCTTGGCTGCCCCATGCTTACCACACCAGCTGGCGAACGGGGGGGGGTGTGGGGTGGAGTGGGGGGAAGAGAAGTAGGAAGTGACATTGCGAAGTGCATGCAGCATGAAGGCCATATAGTGCATGCAACATGAAGGCCATATAGTGGATGGCCTGAGAATGGAGAGAAGATTCGGCAAGGAAGAGCAGGTGAGAGATGGAGAAGGCAAGCAGGGCAGCGCACCTGCATGAGATGGTTCTGGATGATGTCCCGAATGATGCTGCCCAGGGGGGGAGAGGAGGAGCAAGCGCGTGGAAGAGGAGAGAAGCGCAGAGTCACATGCCAGAACCACCGCATGACTCTGATGACCGTGTATGGAATCAGAATGACAAGAGGCAGCGAGAGACGGCAAGTGAGCGGGCAGAGGAGAGGCAGAGCGAGGGGCGGCCACCCACCCGTACTGGTCGAAGTAGCCTCCGCGGCCCTCCGTGCCGAAGTCCTCCCTGAACACAATCTGCAGCGGCGAGAGGGGATATGGAAAGGAGGTTGGAAGTCGGAGGTGGTCAGGCAAACAACGAGTGGTGGAAAATCGGAAGGAGGCAAAAACGGAACGTGAAGTGCAGAGTGATGGTGGGAGGGGAGAGGGGGAGGCAGTGGCGTGAGGGAGGGGCATGCATGATGCATGCGTGACAGCTGCCAGTGCATGCCCTGCGTCACATGCCTACAGGCTGCACCCTCGGCCCACCTGCACGTTGGCGACATTGTCTCGGTTCCACAGCGGCACGAAGAAGCGATTAGCGAAGCGCATCACCAACTGGTTGGGGGGGGGGAGGGGAGGGCGAGCGGGGAGCGCAGGGGAAATAGCAGAGAGTGCAGCACAAGCATGGTGGGGGAATGAGTGCACAGCCAGTAGCATGGTAGGGGAGTGAGTGCACAGCCAGTAGCATGGCAACTGCATGCAGGCAACACATGCTGCACTCCCTCTCCTTCCACATCCAACCATCTCCCCCCACCTCCCTCCCGCACAACCCTCCTCCCTCTCCCCTCCACCCCCTTTTCCCCTTCCTCTCCTCCCCCCGTCCCTCCTCCCATTCCCCCCCCACCCCCTGCTGTAGAGCGCACCAGGTTCTGAACGACCTCCTTGCCGAGGTAGTGGTCGATGCGGTAGATCTGCTCCTCGCTGAACAGCGCGCCCAGCTCGCCGCTCAGCGCCTCCGCACTCGCCAGGTCGCGCCCAAAGGGCTTCTCCACGATCACGCGCGTCCACCCGCGCGCGTTCATGCAGTACCGCCGCACCTCCGCACACACTGGCGGGTACACCGACGGCGGCAGCGCCAGGTAGAACAGCCGCCTCGTCGTCCCGCTGCTGCTGTCACTGGAGGTGCTGGTGGTGCTGTCGCTGGTGGCGGCAGTGGGAGTGGTGGTGGCTTCGAAGGCGAGCATGGCCTCCTGCAGCTTGGCGTAGCCGTCCCGGCCGTCATAGGGGCCGTGGATGTAGTCCACCTGCGGAGGCAGCGACGTGGAGGGGGGGAGGGAAGGGGGGAAGAGGAATGGGGACGATGGGGAATGGGGTTGGGGGAAGGCGAAGAAGAATGGGCAGAGGAGAAGGACAAGGGGAGGGGACGAGACGTCGCTGGGAGCATCACAAGGGAGGTGCAGGAGACGTGGAGCAGGAGACGTGGAGCAGGAGGACGGGCGGATGTGGGCAGTGGCGAAGCGGCATGAGGGTGGCGCGACACCAGACACAAGGCCCGAGTGGAGGGCAGCCCCGCGTTTCCCCTTGCTGCCGGTACAGCGTGGTGCAGGGCGGTGGGGTGGGCACTCAGCGGTGCAGGGCGGTGGGGTGGGGCATTCAGCGGTGCAGCGTGGTGCAGGGCGTGGGGCACTCACGACGTTGAGGAAGGCAGCGACGGGGTCCTGGGCGGGGGCCGTGTCGGCCTTGGGCTTGAGGTAGCTGGAGGGGGGGTGGGCGAGCAGGTGAGGCAGACACACAGCAGCACGGCGGCACTCTTTACATGCAGCATTGTGACAGCATGGCCCGCGAGCACGTCGCATGCAAGGACGTGGCATGCAAGCACGCACCGCGGCAGCATGGCACCAACTACCCTCCCACTGGCCCGGAGCATCACATCCCACCTCCCGTAGCCATAACCCTTTTCCCCTGACCATACCCCTCACCCCTTGATTTTCTCGCGCAGCTGCTCCGACGTCATCTGCGAGCGCGCGTATCCGAAGATGCGGATCTCCCCCGCGGGGAGAAAGCCCTGCGCCGACCGGGGAAGAAGGAGGGGGAAAGGGGGGGCGCGCGGGGGAGAGGAGAAAGGAGACCATGAGGCGACCAGAAACGGGAGAGACGAGGCGGGAAACGCGCGCGAAAACGAGTGGCCCAGAAGAAAGCGTGTCTAGCACAAAGCATTGTTTCGGATTTTTAGGCGCGCACATGCTGGAAGAGATTGAAGAGCGCGGGAAACGTCTTCTTTTTCGCCAAATCACCCGACGCGCCGAAGATGACGATGGAGAGAGGGCCTTCCGCGGCGGCGGCGGCGGCGGAGGTCGGCTTAAGCGGGCTCAGCGTCATGCTGGGGATGGCTGGCGCGACCTCCGCACAAGGTGAAGGTGACGCGGCCTTGCGTGGACTCGCCGTGAGAGGCGGGGCAGCAGCCATCGGCGCGCAGTGCGGTGCTAGAGCGAGGCTGGAGGAGGCGAGAGCAGCGGGAGGAACGAGTCAAGCGCGAAGAAATGCAGCTGGCAAGCAGGGAAATCGGAAAATTGAGGGTGAAATTCTTTCAGTGTGCTTCAAATGCTTGGGCTCAGGGCCGCTGGCATGCAGGCAGCGAGGGAGGGGCGCAAATTCCACACGCCCTTCAAACTCCCGTCCCCCCTAGCAGCAGCTCGCGCCTGGCGATGATACTTCGCGGGGAACTTCGAGGTCGGCGAGAAGCGACGGGGAAGGAATGCGGTGAAAGTTCTAGGTTCTCTCCAACAGAGGAAGCGAGATCCGTTACAGTGTTCAACGCCACGTTGAAGATTATAGACAGTGGATGAATAGTTATTCGCCAATATATGGAATCACAGTGGCTACCATGTAGTAAAAATAAGCGCTACCTAGAGCTCAACTTACCTTGCACCCGTCTAACTTGCTTCTTTGGCTTCACAAGTGCGAGAATCTATATGCTGCTGACCTATACACATCAGCATGTGCTGCGATGGAAGCTGCGCACAAATCACAAAACAAAGGTCAAGCAACATGATTCAATTCAATACAATCAGCACTAAAGCTAACATTCCCTGCAGCAAAAAAAAAAACTCACCATCTGGCGGTCGTGAATAGCCTCCCCCCATGGTGATGACCAATGGCACGCCGTTGTCGATACACGCACTGTACACCATGTTGTTCCTCCTCAGCATGCCGGCCCTAGTCATTGCAAGCCTGCCAAAACTGTCCTCTTTAAGAGCATCCACCCCTGCCTGCATAACGCACAGGGCACAACAGAGACAGATTCACCAACATAGTGAAGCCCGCTGGCAACGAATCTCATCTACGGCTACCTGAACCATAACCAGCCACAACTCTCCCATCCGTCCACCAAGCCTGTTCCTGTTGCCTAACCTGGAAAATGACGAGGCTCGGCCGGTGCTGGTCAAACAGCCTGGGCAGCCATTCTTGGAGCAGGGCGAGGTAAGCAGTGTCCCCCATGTCATCGGGCAGCTCTACGTCGTAGTCGGAGCGGCGCTTGGAGCGCCACGGGTAGTTGTTGGCGCCGTGCATTGAGAATGTCACCACTCGCGGGTCGCCCTCGAATATGCTCGCCGTGCCGTTGCCCTGGAAGTTGGAGTGAGAAGTCAGGGGCGGGGATGGTTCTTTGAGGGGTCTCAAAGAGCAGGTGCGGGATGAGCAAATGAATGAGTGAGGCATTAATGAAAGCGAGGGGAGTGCGCAGGTGGAGAGTGAGGAAGGGTAGGGTATGGCAGAAGAGAGAGAGCGGAGCAGCGGTCCACATGGCTGTGATTGCTGGTGGTGGTGCGCACCTGGTGCACGTCGAGATCAAGGGCCAGGATGGGCCGATGGGCGTTGCAGATGTTGGGGTGGTGAGTTAGGGCTGCCACGGCTGCCACTGCTATGTCGTTGAACACACCTGGGGGCGGATTCGGGAGGATAGGGGGGAGAAGGAGAGGCGTGAAGAGAGAAGAGACAGGATAGAAGCGGAGAGAGGAGATCAGGGAAAGGAAAGGAGATAGATTTATATTATTAGGTGTAAAGGAGGAGAGAGGCAAGAGAGGGGAGAGGCGGACGGGGGAAGAATATAGGATAGGGGAGAGTGGTGGAGGTGGGACAGTGCATCGCACCACAGCATTCCCATTCCCCCTCCTCCCTCACTTACCAGGCACACCGACCAACTCCCATAGTCTCCTCCCCATAATCAACTCCCATAGTCTCCTCCCCATAATCCTCCCCCCATAATCTCCTCCCCATAATCCTCCCCCCATAATCTCCTCCCCATAATCCTCCCCCCATAATCTCCTCCCCATAATCCTCCCCCCATGATCTCCTCCCCATAATCCTCCCCCCATAATCTCCTCCCCATAACAACCCCCACTCACTCACAGAAGCCCTCCCCATGCCCCCTGAACGCATGGTGTGTGCCGCCCGCCAGCACCGCCGCCGCCCGCCTGAGCCCCATGAGCACCGCGTGGGTGGCTGCTACAGTGCCGCTGGCGAGGAAGAACACGGAGGGAGTTGAAGGCACGGGCGGCGGGAGAAGAGGGAACAAGCGGGTGGTGGTTGGGAGGGATGAATGTGAGCCAGACTGTGAGAGCGAGAGGCATGTGCGAAGGCAGATGGGTGGAGGAAGCTGGACAGAAACGGAGTGGAGGCGAATCGAGCGGACGCATGCCCAACTTCCCCAGGCCCACACGAGAGTGACACACACATGATCATCGCCTTATAGAACCCCCACACTGCCACGCCCTGCCCCCTGCATACCCGCACGATGCCTGTGAGCGCAGCAGCAGGTGCGGCGACCAGGGGAAGCCCAGCACTCGCTCCTCCTGCGCTGAGAGGGCGTGCGTGAAGAGCCGCGTCAGGTAGCTGGGGGGTGGGGATGGGGTTGGGGGGATAAAGGAGGGGGAGGATGCAGAGATGGGGTTAGGGAGATAAGAGGAGGGGGAAAGGAGGAGGAGGAAAGAGGAGGATGGAGGCCACAGAGTGCATTAGCAACACAGAGTGCATTAGCAACACAGAGTGCATTAGCAATACAGAGTGCATTAGCAACCCACGTGCAGGCAGTAACACAAGCCCATACGCTCCTCCCTGCACATGACCCACTCCCTGCCTCCCTCCAGACCCCTACCCCTCATATACACCCACCCCTTACACACACCTACCCCTCCTCATGCACCTGCTGAAGCTCCTCCCGTGAGACAAGGGGCGCGGGATGGACGGCCAGGATGCGATCTAGAGATGCATCTGACTGCAGGAGAAGGCGAGTGGTGCGGTACCTGCCAAACAGGCACAATCCGACAGAATCAGGCACAATCAGGCACAATCAGGCACAATCAGGCACAACACACCACACATCGCACAGGGATGGGCGAGTGGCAGTCAGGGATGGGCGTGAGGGCATCCAATAGAGAAACCACAACGCATGGAGGACCTCTGACCACACGCCACTTTTTCTCTCTCCTCTATCGCTCGCCACGTCCTCGGATCACTCTCTCTGTAAGCACGAATTTCTAACACACGTCATTCCCTGGCGAATCTTGACGCGGAGCGCACTTGTCCATGGGGAAGCGGTGGCCGTCGGGAAGGGGCACCACGTGGTGGTCCGCGTAGAACGCCAGCAGCCCCTTCCCGCGCCCCGCTGCCTCCGCCGCCTCCCTCGTGCTTCGTGCGGACGCCACGTCAGCGCCATGTTCCGCCACTTCAGCACCGGCACTCGCCACGTCCACCGCTTCAGCACTGGCTCTCGGCAGATCAGCGCCAGTGGTGGTAGCAGAAGGAGCGCGTTGGGAGTAACGCCGCTCAGAGCATCTCGCGCGGTCATCAGCCTTATAAAATCCAAGAATTCTAAGACCTAGGACGAGAGCAGGGAATCGGCTCTGCGATTCGCAACGTATTTGTCTGAGCGCACCTCTCGGGTGATATTCTACCAGTACGGGCGATCGCACATGAGGTGGTAGCAGCGATGGCATGATCATGGACGGAACAGACGACGACGGAGACGGAAAAAGCTGTTGGGACGATTTCTGGGATTCCCCCCACTGCTGCCAGGAAGCGCTGAGGCACGCACCTATTTTGCTCGGACTGGCACTACTGGATTCTCCGAATCGGTGACACGTGCTTATGCGGTTGCGACTCGCGATTTGACCAGGATTGGCGATCTGACGACAGCAACGGATATAGCGGTGAAGTGCGGTGGAGGTACGGGCGACGGCGCATGGCAAGACGCGGCGAGAGGATAGACACGCTGACTGAAGCCATGGCGTCATGGGGAAGTGTGAGGATGGAAGAGAGTTGGTCAGGACAACGAATAAACGGGAGACGGAAACACGAGTGACGAGAGCAGTGAAGCGTCAGGTCGCTGTGACAGCGTCAAGGAACGGGGCACGTGATGCTCTCGTGGCCTTGGCATGATGGCTTTGAATAAGCTACGAGTTGTAAGGCGGCAGCATGGACAAAGCTGTGACCCATACCATGTTCCTCTCTGACCTTTTCAGCCTGTTTTGGGTCTAGGTCCCTAGGTACCTGTTAGGTTAGGCAACTCGAGTTAACTACTGGGAAATTTATGAACAACTTTCATGATTTCAAAAAAGCTGTCATTGAAAAAGACACATGGTACAGTCTGCTAAGCACATCATAGACAAGACAAAGTGCCTCTAGTGTCCTCCTCGGAGCCTGGGACATGAGCTAACAGATAGAGCAACAGAGATAGGCAGGGCACGGAACAGCAACAGCATGCACACAGCAGGCCTTGGCCCACTGCGGCAAAAAAACGGCCAGAAGCCGTCAGAGCAAGCTGCACCGCAGCACCTGCCTCCCACCTGCTACAGCTGCTAGCCAGCCATCCCTGGCAAAAAAGGCGAGACACTGCAGCAAAGACAGGAGAAACAAAAGCGAAGAGACCAGAAAGGCAGAACAAGAGCAGACGCCCTTGCAAAGAAAGCTCCGGAGAGCAAACGACATAATGCTGAATCCCCACTGGCTGCAAACAGCAGATAAAGAAACTCCTGCCTGCAGCGCCACCATCACCACAGCACAACCGCAGATCGTTGGAAGCGCACGCGCATGTCACTCTGTACACATGTCACGCCACGAAGGCTGCAGAAGCACCCAGGTTGAACGCCGACGCATCAACCATTTCCTTCAAATCCCATCCAGCCACATCACCAGCAGCAGCAGCATGGGCGTCCCACGAAGCTCCAGGCGCCATGAGGTCGTAAACAGGGCTGAACCCAAACAGCATGCGCCCTGGTGCACTCGACATCTGCTCCAGGAACGAGTCTGGGCGCTGAGAGGCGCTCCTGGCAACCGGAACAGCTGCACCCGATGCAGCCACACGGGAAACCGGAGCGTTCGTGGCGCGGGGCGGGAGAGGCGCCAGGGCTGACGCGGGGGCTGCGGTGGGGGTGGCGCGAGGAGAAGCATCGGCAGCAGCGGGCGCGGAGGACGCGCCAGCAGCGACGAGCTTCTCAAGAGCCATCACCTCATGCAGCTGCATCAGCAGCGACATGTCCGCTGCTCCATCCGATGCCATCGCCTCCTCCTGCCTCGCCGCCTGCTGCACGTGCTGCACGTGCTGCTCCTGTTGCTCCTCGACCTCCACCACTGCGCCAGCCGGCTTTCTCTCGTTTCCAAGCGCATCCAGCGCCGTTGCTTGCGTGTGGCCCTGCGCGTACAGGTATGCCAGCAGCATGTCGTCGTCGCTCTCCGTCTCGCCCTCCCATCCCGGCACCACCTGCTGCAGACTCGCGCATGAATCAGCGGACGCCGCGGAGGACGGCACGACGGCGGACGGCCCGCGCTGCGGCGCGGAGATGAGAGACGGACGGCGAGGGGTGGCGGACGAGGGGCGGGACGAGGCGTCGAGAAGGGGAGCGGAGGGAGCAGGCGCAGAGGCGGGCTCGACGGAGACGTCCGATTTGGACGACGCCGGGCTTGCCGTTGCTGCGCTCGCGACTGGATGCTTCGAGAAGCAAGACGCGTCGCCGGCGAGTTTGCACAGAATCATATTCACGACCGCGTCCGCTGCGCTCTGCTGGCCCGCGGCGGAAGGCTGCTGCTGGCTCACGTGGTTGGCGGAAAATCTGCGAAACGAGAAGGAATGGCGAAGGTAAGAAACCCATTACGCGACGATACAGAACGAGCGACCGACATAGGGCTAGTGCGATCCGTGCTTACGAAGTAGGGTTGGCGGACGACGTGGCGTTGACGAACTGCATCGCGGCTTGGCTCACTGCGTTCGCTGATTGGCCGATCGTGACGAGCAGCTGCTGTAGTTGCTGCTGCTGCTGATGCTGCTTCTGCATGGACAGCAAACCGTGAGAGGCGCTGAGGGGAGACGAGGGATCTGAAAGAGCGGTAGAGCGCTGCGCGTCAATGAGACTCGGCATCCACACGGAACCGCCGCCATTTGAGGCTTGATCTTGAACACTGCGGAAGAGACCACGAAAACACACATGTAACAAAGCCTCGATCAGAACATAAGCGAAGAGGCAAACTGAATGTAAACACCGTACACAAACTCTTGAACAAAGGAGGAAAGACAGATAACAAAATACGTACCTAGTGGACGCGGACTGAAGGATGGCAGGCTTTGCAAGGGACGGAGCTGCGGCGCGCTTGGAGATGACGCGAGACGAAACGTTCACGCGGAGAGCAATTTCCGCGGAAGGAGATGAAGGTGCGTGAAACATCGACGAGGATGCGGGAGCGTGAAGCATCGACGAGGCCACCGCCGCCGAGGGGCTTCGAGGCTCGGAGTTTACATTGATGTAGGGGAAGATGGTCTGCAAATTCTGACCCTTAGCTCGAGCCTGAAAGAATTTCCTGCGGGGCGACGGGGATCGTACGAAACGAGGAGATGATGTCTTTGCTCACAAATTAAAGATCGTCGAATTTGGCAAGAAATAAATGTCAAGTTACCTCTTAAGAAGAATAAATCGGTTACAACACGCCTTCTGATCGCGGTGAGGTAAAGTTGAGCTGGATTGAAGAGAGCCCCAATGCTTGGTGCCGTAACGAGCCACGTGCTGCAAAAGAATTACATCTTCCTGCACGAACACAAATAACGGGACCAGATTCGCGGTAATTGAGTGAGTTGGGCTGCAAAAACGCGCACGAAGTCGCGTAGACGAGGAAAACTCAGTTCAGGAATCTGCGAAATCTTAGAACCTACCTCTGGAGTCCAGAGCGATCCTACTTGACGCAAATCAGCCATGGTAGAAGAGAGGTCCCTTGCGGCTTATATCAACGAAACTATGAGGTACTAACGCGCGAGACGGTGAGCTACCAGAGAGCTGGAGAAAAGAGCGGTAAACCGCTCTCAAAAAAAGACGGGTCAAGAAAATGAAGTGGGAGCGGGTTTGTTATAGCCGCTCGGGTTGTTTGTGCGGGGAAAGGGGTCGCAGTTATGGAAGCAGGTGAGCGGATGGCGGAAGGGGCAGCATGCGGGGGGGGGGAGGGGGAGAGGGAAAGAGGGGATGAGGGGAGGAAGAGGCGGGGGATGGGAGGAGAGGGTTTGGAGCAGGATCGTCTGGAGTCGGATGGAGGGGACTCGGCGGGTTGCCCGAGATGGGGAAGGAGCTGGCCAGGAAAGCGAGTTGAGTAAAGGTTGGTTTGGTTTGGACGGGCAGATTGAAGTTGTCCGTGTTGAGTGCAAAAATTGGCAGAGGTGAGGGGAATCTGCGCTTTATTGGTGGTGTTCTGGTGACTCCTGCGGGGGAGGAGGAGGGGGGGCGAAGGGACTTTGTTCTGGCCCAACCCCACCTCGGGGGGTAATCTCCGACAGGTCGGCGCGAAAGTTGCTGACACGACGAGGAAAAAGTTAGGGCACACGTGATTGGCCCGCAAACTCTGGCCAGCGGTAGTTGCGCACGAGGGTGGAGGACGGTGATTGATAGCTCCGTGATGGAGTGTGTGTCGGCGCAAAAAGCAAGGGGAGCAAAGGGGCGAACGGGTCTAGCGGATGGGGAAGATGCTCTGCTGACCTTTGTCTCTGGTTTGAAACGGACATTTGCATCGCGACTCGCATGAGAAGCATTGAGCACAACGACAGATGTCGACCACGAAACTCACCCAAGCCCATGTCACCAGGTCAACATGCAATCCAACCCTCCGCAGAACCGTCGAGGATGACGCCATCAGGAATGGTCGGTGAAAAAATACACACCTGACCATAACGTTTGATACGGTTGTTGACGCCATGGAATACATTTTTGCTCTCGTAAACAAAGCGCATCATTAGTATTTTGTGTTATTCCATAATGATGTCGCAGTTCTGTGTGTGTGCCTGAAATTTATTATTCACACAAGGACAACAAATGCATCCAGGTTGAAGTGCGTCATGTGGTGCACCCTGATCCCATCAAACCAACCACTTGAAGAGTGGATGCTTTCAACGAACTTAGCAAGCCGGAAACAACGTGTCACGTCGATTCGAAACTTCCTAGGATTCCCCTACGAAACGCGTGCTTGGTCGAGGTTGCGCCACGGAATCTAAAAGGACAAAACTGGCAGCCTATCTTGCAAATCCATGAGATAGGAAAAAACGCATTTTGGCTTCGATTGCGCATCACGACGAATCTGGCAGGACCTCTTCTTCCAAGTGGGAGGCCAAACCGTCCACAGTCTTGGAGCACTGGTTTGGTATAGAATTTAGAGATGCGTCACGCATGCTAACAATCAGGGAAAATATGTCACAAGTAACCAACATGGGACTCGCGTGAATGGTAGCGTGGATAGTAACCAATATGATAACGTGAATGGTAAAAAAGTCACGCGTACAGTCACTGTATCAGGATTGCTGACCAGTTTGGTAAGTGGGGTCACGGATTCAGTCACTAACAACACGTGAAAAAAAACATGTGAATGGTCACACATGTAACTCTCGCCAAAAAATCTTGAAACTCTACAAAATTCCGCTCGCGCCCAACCAATCAGCTAAATTCTACAAATATTAAAACCCAACCGGAATCGGATGCGGTTTGGGAACGGATCAACCCTAAACACCTGGCGAGTTGTGTTTAGGGTTGATTCATCGTGTTCGTTTTGAGTATTGTCTTTTTGGGGCGGGAGTTTCATCTGTGACCATTCGCTATATTTTTTCCTAATTGATTGTGACTGATTCCGTTAAATATTTTATCAAACACGTGAAAACACCCTTTGCAGTGAGCGTTGCTAAGATAAGCTTAGTGGTGCCTAGGGTTTGGGTGTTAGGCAACTATCGAGAGTAGAAAGGAAGGGGGTTTCACTATAAAAAAAAATGGAAACATATATGCAAGGAAAAGAGAGGTGCACCACCAAAGAAATTTGAAACTACATTAAGTCTATACTGTCAGATATCCACTGGTGATCCCCGGTTGATCCTAGGGAAGGGTTACAGGCATGTTGGCATGGGGGGTTATGGGCGCACTGACCCGCTATTTAACAAGCCATTTTATCCCAATGGTCTAGTGGTTGGGATTTGACATGGTATCAGAGCGAAGGTCTCGGGTTCGACTCCTAGTGTGTGCACTTCGGGCATCCCAGTGCGGGGGGGGGTGTTAGAGGTCCACTGGTGATCTCCGATTGATCCTAGGGAAGGGTTACAGGCATGTTGGCCTGGGGGGTTATGGGTGCACTAACCCGCTATTTAACAAGCCATTTTATCCCAATGGTCTAGTGGTTGGGATTATGACATACACTACAGGCAGTTATAATATAATGTATGTAATTATATTCCGACACACCCCCTAACTGCCTACAGTGAAGAACCATGTGCAAAACACCCCCTGAAGGGGTACACCAAGTGCAGCGGAAGAAGGAGAGGGCAAGTGAGGAGGAGGAGGGACCATGAGCGGAGAGGAGGTGGTGGGCGGCGGCTGAAGCTGCTGGCACACGGGCAACTGGAGCAACTGGCACACGGGCAACTGGAGCAACTGGCACACGGGCAACTGGAGTAACTGGCTATGCGGCTAGACGAGCGGCTGGAGCAACTGACTCATGGGCAACTGGAGCAACGGGCTCACGGGCGACTGGAGCTGCTGGCTTCACAGCGGCCACCCCCCATCAAGCTCCCCCCCCTCAAAGAGAGGCAGGGCAGTCAGGGCAGGCACAAGGCAGGGGCGGCTCAAGGCAGGGGTGGTTGGAAACGGAGAGGAGAGAGGGGGGGGGGGACGAGGCGAGTGGTGCTGCAGATCCCCTCCTGCCACCGCCTTAACCTCCAAGCTCATCCGTCCCCCCTCCCAACACAACAACAGGCGGCAGGGAGAGAGAGGAGGAGGAGGTGGGCGGCTAGCGCTGCAAAACCCCTCCTGCCACCCCCTCACCCTCCACTATCCGCCACCCCCATCACCCTACCCCCCACAGGCGCTGGTTCTAGCAGAGGCACGGGCAGGGCGCGAGCTCCACTCCCCTGCCACCTCCCCCTCACCCACCACCTCCTCGCACTGCAGAAGCAGGCGCGGGCAGGAAAGGCGACGGAGCGGAAGAAGACGGGACAGCAGTGGAGGTGGTGGAGCCAGTGGAGGTGGTGGCAGCGGTGGGAGTGGTGGCGAGAGTGGGGGCTTTGGTGGCGGCGGTGGAGTCAGCGGTGGGAGTGGCGGTAGTGGCAGCGGTGGGAGTGGTGGCAGACGCATTGGAGCTCAGCGTGGAGGTTCTGGAGGAGGCCAGAGGCAGCAGCAGCAGCGTCGGAGCGAGACCCCGTCGCCCCAGCAGCTTCGTGAGTGGTTGTTTCAGCGTGGGGCGTCTCGGGGTAGTGTGAGCTGCCTGTAAGTCATTCGCATGGGTGACCGTGCTGGTCAGACATGCAGGAAGCCTCACACTCAGCACCGCTGCTTCTCCCGCCTCGTTGACGCTTGGCGCGCAGAGTTTGGTGACGAGGCCGAGCGCCCCCACTGGGCAGAGCTGCTTAGGTCTGGAGTTGTTATCTTTGACCCTGGAGCTGGAGGTGCTGGAGGCACTGTGCGGCTGCGACCATACTTCGTTCCGCTGCTTCAGCAGGTTCTTGGTGTCCCCTCTTCTACTGGCCTTCCTCCTGCCTTCCTGTGTCCACCGCCTGACTAGTCGCAGCCGCCGTTACAGCCAGCCTCCCCACTGCAGACCGGAGGTCTTACAGAGCGTCGTGAGTCTGCGTCTCGTCCTGCCTCCCCTGTTCGCACTGGTCGTCGCGTTCCTCGCCTGCGTCCTCCTCCTGTCCCCGGCACCCATGCTATGGCACTTCGTCCTTCCTCTGTTCCACTACGTGTTCCTCTGCCGCCTCCTCCCGAGTCCTCTTTTCATGCCGTCCCTGACCCTGAGTCTGACCGTGCTCGTGCTGCCAGTCCCACTGTCTCTCGTCTCCTCGCCACTGTTGTCACCGACCCTTCTTTTGAGTCCACTGCTGCGTCTGCCCTCGTTGCAGAGCTAGTTGACTTTGCTGCTGCCTGACGTCTAGACTACGCCACTACTCTTGTTGCTGAGTCTGAGTCTGCCAGTCCTCCGTCCGTCGGGGGTGAGTGTGCTCTTGGCACGGACGTCCTTGAGGACAGGCAGGAGGACTTTGAGTGTCTTGCAGCTGCTGTACCTCGTTTCGCTTCCATGCTGCTTGCCCCTGAGGGAGACCTGGATGCACCAGACATCCCGACCCCACGCTCTCACGCAGAGGCGATTACGGGTCCCTACTCCTCTCAGTGGCAGGCAGCCATGGATGCCGAGATGGCATTCTGGAAGTCCACAGGCACCTACGTCGACGCAATTCCCCCGTCTCGGGCGAACATAGTCGATGGCATGTGGATTTTCAGGGTGAAGCGGCCGCCGGGTTCTCCGCCTGCCTTCAAAGCTCGTTACGTTGCTCGAGGCTTCAGTCAGAGACAGGGGGTCGACTACTTCCATACCTTCTCCCCCACCCCGGAGATGACTACTCTTCGGGTGTTGCTACACGTCGCTGCTCAGCGTGACTACAAGTTACACTCTCTCGACTTCAGTACAGCTTTCTTGCAGGGCAGCCTGCACGAGGAGATCTGGCTGCGCCGCCCACCTGGCTTCACCGGGTCGTTTCCTGCAGGTACCCAGTGGAGCTCCGCCGGCCAGTCTACGGTCTCCGCCAGGCGCCTCGCGAGTGGCACGACACACTGAAGACTACACTTACTACTCTGGGGTTTTTACGCACCGACACTTCGCTGCCGCCGTTCTACGTCCTCGTGTACGTCGACGACCTCGTCTTTGCCACTGCTGACACTGAGGCAGTGACCCTTGTGAAGT